TGTTGTTAACAACCATTTGATCAATAAATATGAGAGATGGCCTCTCAAAAAAAAAAACCTTTTGGTTGTGTTACAAGCTCCTGGGCTCTCTGTATAAGGACTATAGCATAAAATTAACCTCCTCTTCAGCATCACCCTCCTGAACTAAAGTTTATTCCCTCAGCTGAAAACCTTCCAAAAGAATTCTTTAAACCCTATGAAATATGACATCTCATCTGAGACCCTTTGTTGCCTACCCTTTGTTTTTTGTGTATGTTACTTTTCCTTTCTACCACTGTAACTAGCCAAGATCAATGTGTATTCTTTTCACACATCACTTTTCATTTCATTTCCTAATCAGTATATAGGGAAAATTTTTAGGATTTCAAAGAATAAAAAGTTAAGAAAAACTGGTTGGTTTTGAGGTATTTCATTGTAATATAAGAAAAAACAATATCCTAAAATTGAATTCATTGGACAAAACTTGCTTATGATTCCATTCTTCTTAAAATACCACATTTAAATCATTACCAAACTCTGGTTTACACTTCCCTTAAAAGAACACAACTTGTTGCACCCAGTAAAAGATTTCCTTGTTTTCTGACACATTTGAATTTGTACTTAATTGTGTAATATTAGGTTATTCCGATATCGTTTCATTTTTGTGGCAACACAGGCTTTAGGTTTACTCAGTCTGCTTTCTTTTTAATTCCTGTATATTCTCTTCTCTGTCTTAGGTCATGGAGTGGTTCAGTATTTTAATGTAGCATCAGCTGTTTATGCAAAATATAAGTTACATGGATTTCAGTACCCTCCTGGAAATCGGATAGGGGTTTCCTTCATTGATGATGGGAGTAATGCAGCAGAGTAAGTACCACTCCAAGAGTGTCTAAAGCTGAGCTTTGTGTGTATGTGATATGACTTAAAGAATAAAAATAAAAAGCAATTGACCACTCAGGTGAGGAAATCACACAAAACAAGTTACCATTAAGAAACTGAGTATTCCTAGTTTGCTATAAATTACTAGTTTTTATCTCTAGTCTCCTTAGAAAAATGGCAACACAGATGGTAGCTGCACAGCTTGCATCAATGGTGTGGAACAACCCAAGTCAGCAGCAATTTCTGGTAAGTAGGTAAGAATTAAACCTTCACAATGCATTAATAGGGTACAAAATAAATGCAGTATTTGTTTATTACCTATATAATAAAAATTTTCAGAACTACAGTAAAAGACCATATAGGTGCCATGATACACATCTCTTTAGCTCTTGGCTTAAAGTTCTCAAAGTGCAGTTTTTCTTTTTCTCATTTTGTACTTAACTCTTCAACAGCAATTTGGAGGAAATTCTGCATCACAATTGCCTCAGATCCAGACAGATGTTGTACTTCCATCATGCAAAAAAAAAGCCCCTCCTGAAACTCCTGTGAAAGAAAGGCTTTTTATCGTATTTAATCCTCATCCTTTACCTTTAGATGTATTAGAGGATATATTCTGGTAAGATTTCAATTCCAAAAAGTTATATTTTATAATATAAATTATTTAAGCCAGTTAATGTTAAGCACTCTCAATCTCATAACTTCCTGTATCAAAACTATCAGGTTGAGATGATTTGTTCTGTGGTTTAAAAAGTCCTTACTCTATCATCTTTTAAAATACATTATCATTTCTTTTTTATTCTTTAAACCCTAGAGTCTGCACAGAGAATTTTCTATTACTTAGTTTTAAAGCATAAAACATGTAGTAGTATTTTGAAAAGTTTCATTCACAGAATGGACAAATCATTAGTTTCTTGATAGAAGGAACATCTGTTTAGACCTGTCCTCTAGAATTCTCTTTACATATCTTTTCCTTTGTAGTTATGATCAACAGAATAGTGTTTACTAAGTGTCTCCTGTTTTGTCAGTGCTCTGTTGGGGCCTTATGGGTTATACTGAGTAAACAATTCTTGATTGTAGGGAAGAGTATATGATAAGTGTAAAAAAGAGGAAGGCTGTAGTTTATTTCTGTGTTTTTAATATGACTTCTTTAACCTTAACTTTTTCTTTATGGTTTTTTTTTCTGTTTGCCTTGTTAGAAAGCTTTTTAAAGAGCTGCACAAAATACCAGAGATGTGGTTCATGTATTTTGACTTTTGTTTAACTGATTCATTTAGTTTATTTCCTGAATATCGCCTCTATGCCAGGCAGTCACTGAAGTACAAGAGATATCATGTAAACAAAGCATAAACAAGATAAAACAGGCCTCCTCTTCTTGGAGGTAATCTCATGTAGGGGGCAGATAAGAAAATAGGAAATTACAACCTAGTGAGACTGGTGTTGGGAAAAGGAATGTTCAGGCTGTGAAATACTTAGGAGGGTCACCTACCTTAGAAACTAAGGAGACTTCTTAAAAGAAGCAAGTTATTGTGAGGACCTGAAGGATAAAAATAATTTAGCCAGGGAAGAAAGCTGGGCATGTGGGTAGTTATTCCTGCCAGAGAAAAGGTGAAAAGAGGCCATTAGGGTATGGAATGTGAGCAACTATGAGGGAAGATGAAATTGGAGAGGACAAGGACCATATCAAGAGTAGCCCACAAACTATGTTAGGGAGTTTGTCCTTACCCTGGGCTGCTGAAGGGATTTTTTAGGGAGAAAATGATCATATTTGTGTTTTTAGAAAGATCACTCAGAAGACAGGGCAAAAAATAGATTAGAGAGGGACAAGCCCAGAGGGCAGGGAAACTAGTGAAAAAGGTATTCCTCAATGATGGTCTGAATGAGGAAAGAGACCTGAGTGAGAATGAGATACATTGACTGATAGAGGAAATGCTGAAGAAGGAACACTGACTTGAATTAGAGATTGGATACGGGGAGGGGAGTGAAGAAGGAGTCCAGAATGGACCCCAACTTTTAGACCCAAGCAGGTGGATTTATGAGTTTCAGTTAATTTTTTTACTTTGTTTCAGTCGTTTTGGTAACCTGATTGAAGTTTACCTTGTGTCAGGAAAAAATGTGGGATACGCCAAGTATGCAGACAGGATAAGCGCTAATGATGCCATTACTACTTTACATGGAAAGATCCTGAATGGAGTAAGACTTAAAGTTATGCTGGCAGATTCCCCAAGAGAAGACTCTAACAAACGACAGAGAACTTACTGATTTTTAAGGTAAGCCCCTTTTTATCTGAAGTTTAAAACAGTTTAAATAGAATAGCAAGAGGAATATGTATAGAGTTTCATTTTAGGGATGTAGAAGGTATCAGTTAAAAGCCCTGTGGCTTAAAACCTTGCTGATAAAACCACAGCTCGGGAGTTAATTTTATAATGTAGTTTTTAAATTCAACATTATAAACTTAAGTGTTTTTGATATTTATTGGGAGAATGTTTTTGCCCTTCTGTAAAGTAAAATCAGATCTCAATTCAGAAGATTAAAATTTTTTTGTTTGTGAATATCTTAGATATTAAGAATTGGACATTTTACTATATGCTTACATAAACTTTAAAATTGAAATACTTCTAAAGATTTTTAACTTGATTAATGTCTTGAGTTATGAATTAAGGTAATTTATAATAGCCTTTATAAAGAATATTTTGACATCTCATTAATGAAATACCTAAAAAAAACAGTATCAGTAATACATCTTCTTGGACCTTCTGAACCTAAATGTTGACGTTTTCCTGGATTTATATTTGTGACTTTGTGTATTAAAGCTACGTATTCAGAAACTATTCTCATGTATACATATATGTATTAAAACAACCCTAACAATTTACCAGAAACTCTTGTCTATTATTAATGATACAAACAGCCATACCAAGTCCTTTTTCTTGTAGCTTTCAAAATCAAACTTGTAAATTTCCTTTTCTATGGCAGTCAACTCATATCTCCATGATTTGGCGAAACATTTAAAGTTAGAAATGTTCAATTCTTTCACTTTTTTACTCTGGAAATGAATTCTGAGTTTCAGAGGAGCTTAGAGTTCCCCTGCTGCCCCCCACGCCAGGTTCCCAAGTCCCCTGCTGCTCAAATGATAGCACTTGGCAAGCACTTCAGATTCAGTTTGAAGTTACGGGCTTGCAAGCAACTTTCTTGTCATCTTTTCTTTCTGACCAATTATGAGAACTAGCAGGTACAGAATGAATTGTCTCAAGCCTTACTGCTGATAATCCTTCCTTTAATGAAACAAGTCACGTGGTTAGAGGTCCTTCCTCCTAGAAGGCAGTTGACAATAGGAAGTGCCCATTGGGCCCACTGTAAATAATCCTAATTTAGAAATGTTCTCAAATGTTTTGTTTAATAATAAAATCCACTACCATTACTCCATACAATGTAGAAATACTAAATTTCTAATGTAAAAGAATTAGCAAGTCTTTCTTGTTACAATAAAACTTCTTCATGTGTATAGAATGTTAGGAGCTGAATTCTGTTTTAGACAAGCCATCTTCTAAAATAGCTTGCAAAAATTTTTTGGCATCTATGAATGTTCCAATATGTAGGTAACAATTCTTTTATTCAAAGAATCTTTGTCCTTAAAAAAAAACAATATTTCTTAGTATGGGAAGAATGTATAAATTACTCTTGTGGTTGTACCTTTCCTAATGATTTTTATATAGTATAGAGGATATTAGACTTAAAATTAGAAGATGTAGGCTGGAATTCCAGCTCTGACACTTAAATGACTACAACCAGGTGAATCTGTTCAGCTGTATAAGACCAAGTTTTTTCATAGTAAGTAAGAGGCAATGAATCAGCAAAATTCCTTATAAAATAATGCTTTGCAAGTGTGAGCTAAAACTCTTGGATTGGTGACTTCACTGAAACCTTTGAGATGTCATCTCATCCAAGTGATGAGAAACTAAAAGTTTAATGATACCGAACAACCTTGTGGCTGGCTGGTGCTGTGAGATTGAAGCTTTCCAATGTCATGTTTTCCCCTGTAAAAGTGATGTACATTCATCCAGTTCCCTGCATTAGAAGTATATATTCTTTAGCATGACTAGTTATCAATCATTTTTCCCTTTGTTGAATTGTTATACATATTCAGGGCAAAGATAACGTAGGGTAAGATTTGTTGAAAATGGTAGGATATACTTAGCTATTTTGGTTTTGAATGTCTTCTAGATACATTTTTTTTAATTTTTGCTGCGGATCTTCCCTTTATTGTGGACCACATAATAGAGATTCTCCTCCTTTGTTGGTATATTAATAAATATATTATTTTAAGGTTCAATAATTAATATGAAAGACTTTGCCACATTTATGATCACAGCATTATGTTGTTTTTTTTTTTGTGGGGAGGAGCACTCTTGTATTAGTTTCTTTTATTTCAAGAGGACACACATTCTGCTCACAAAGGCTAGTTCCATTTGTCTTTGAGGGAAAAGCCTAGAATTAAGTGAACCACACCTAGGAAATAGAAGAAACTGGTCTAAGAATATAACTTTGAAAGTAGTTTACTTCTGCTTTGAGATGGGTCTGATATGCAAAATATGTTTCTCTTTCTCTTTGAGAAAAAATAGAAATCTTAGTATTTCAGAGCAATCCTGATTTTGTGTTAATTCACAGCATTTTCCCTCCAGAAACTCAGTACCCACCTGCATCATCCTTCTGCGTAAGTTAGGTTTTGCCTATTTGGGGGCATCTGTGATTAAGTAAACAGATAACATTGGTTATATTGCAATAAGTAAGGAACAATTCCTAACATTTTAGAAATACTATATACAACAGCTATTTCCTTTCAGGTGATGATTTTCATACTTGTCTTGTGTTCTTTCTACAGAACAAAGACTAAATAATGACATAATCCTCAGCTGACTGACTGAAAATGTGACTGGACGCACTCCCTGTGGACAGTTGACAGCTTTTTTTTTTTCATATACCTGATAGTCTACACAGCATTGTTTTGTCTAGGAGCAGAGATTGTTGACATGTATTTTTAAATCCACACATTAATGCTAAAACTAATATAGTAGCTGTTTCTTAGAGCAATATGTTGTTATGTATAGCAGAAATAAAGTTTTCTTTGCTTAACTAAAATCATGCCTTATTCATGTGAAAGATGAAAATGAAAAAATTTAATAGGCAGTGTTTAGAATCTGACTAAATGACCTATTTCATTGATTTTGAGTTGCACTTTTTTTTTCACATTTTTATGCTTCTGAAATTGGAAATGTTTTGATATCAGTTGTATGCCATAATGTAATTCACAACCTTTTTTTCTTTCTTAGTGGAACATAAAATAGAGGTGCTTCTTTCAATCAGTTGCGTCTTCGAGTCAATAAAATATGGTAATTGCTACTCAGCCAATACAGGCAGTTGGCGACTTATACTTACTCTAAGGCAAGAGCTTAAAAAGACCTACCATTAGGGATACTTTTATAGTTTTACCAAAATGTGTTGGTAATTCTGTAAAGCTCTTTTACAATTACAGAGCAATGGTAATAAAAAAAAAACTTTAAGTTTTTGTTAATAGGTATAAATAAATGGATTGGGGAGAGAGGGTGTGTGGACATTTTCCGTTATAAATGCAAAATATAATGGCCATTCCAAAATATGACATATCAGCTATTTTTAGAACAGACTATGACAGGAAGAATAGTCATTTCAAAACATTAAAAATTAGGGACTTTCTCTTGTATTTTGAAAAGCCAAGAAAAACACTTTATCTGCTGGTGAATGATACATATCAGAAAGGGTATATCTAAGTCAAGAACTTGGCACCTTAAAAATATACTTAGCTATATTGGTGTGCAGTTGTTAAAACATCGCTTGATTACTTCCTCACTGTACCTCTCGCATCCTGAGTTAAACTAAAAATAGTGAAAGATTAAATTCATAAGCGTAATAGAATATTTCATAGTTGGACATCTTTCCCTGGAAAAATTAAAATCCTTTTTTTTGAGTCATGAATTTAGTAAATTTAGATATGAAAATTTCCAGTCTTCACAGGCAAGACTTAACGGAATGAGAATTGAACCAAGTATCTTTCTGTGAGCCAAAGGGCATATTTTAGAAAGAAAGCAAATGTTCTTTTAAGAAATGGAAAAACCTAAGTTAAGAGAGTTAAGGATTAATTACTAACAGATAGATTTATTCATCCCAAACTTAGGTATTGCACACAAAGTTCCATTTTCACAGATTGGAATTAAATTGTGCCCTTCAGGTTATCTGGTTCTACCATGCAAGTTATGCTTAAATTCCTCCAGAAATATTCTTACCGGTGGTTAATCTAAACAGTGTAAGAGTAGGGTTCTCCCTACCTCCTACCTGAGTCCTTTGCATCTTTGGTTAATCCTATTAACAAAATCTGATTCCCTAAAATTCTTGCCTCTTAGTCTTTATGTTTTTCACTGGGCCATATAGAAGTTGAATCTCTGATATGGCAGCTATCATATGCCCTCCTGCCCTCCAAATTACCATTTCATATTAAAGAATCCCAGTTTCTCCATTCTGCATTTAAGGTCAAGGAGCCAGTTTTAGCACACTTGTGGTTTCAGTAAGGTGCCTTATCTAGCCTTATTGCCTTGAGTCTTTCATATAAATCAAAGCACCATGAGTCACTTTTTTGCCTACAAACAACACTGATATTACAGTGCAACATTGTGTTGTTTTTTTCTCTCCCAGTTGCATGTCAGTGAACAACGGTTACTTTAGTTTAGGTGTGCATTTAATCTCAAACTTCTCAATCATTTAGTCTTATTCCTACTTTCCGGTCTCTCACAGTTGACCCTAAAACTATTTGTAAAAGCCAGAATGTCACATTTTTATTAAAATAAGGAAATCTAGAACCTAAGAAATAGCATTTAATAAGCCAGAGTTTATGTCTTTATCTAAATGTTTACTTCCCAGATGTACTTTACATATAAGGATACATAGATATTTAGATGCTCTGCATATGTCGGTTACTGAAATTGCCAACATAGTGGGTTTTTATTGGGTGTGTATTTTTTTAATTAAAAAAATTCTAAGCAATTCAGATCAGTAAGCTTCTCTTTCAAATATGTGGTTCAAACATTTAAAATAAAGCCTGATCAAAACTTTTTTGTAAATTCATTGTCAGGTTCTTTATAGTAGATTACAGATACTGAACACAGCTATCAACATATTTGCTGCTTCTAGGGAGAGCGTCATATCCCAAATTATATTCCTTGAAATACTAGTGTCTTGA